AGTTGATGCATCATTGAAGATGCTGGCCTTGTTGGTTTTTGGAGAGATGAAAACCAATAAAACAGGTTAAAGGAGCAAAGCAGGGTGGGGGGAGACAGTGTCTTTTCATTGGATCAAGCATTAGAATCAAAATGAGGGTGTATTGTTTCAATGATGGATGGTTCTTGGACATCCTTAGGAACAACTGCATTCAGTCAATAGCTTCCAAAACAATGTAATGATGGGGAGATATCATCAAAACTGAACTATCCTGTGGAGCATAAAAACAGTTGTTTGAACAGTTTTTCAAAAATATGGTTCTCAGCCTTGGATTAGACCTCCACCCAAGAAGTCACATTACTGGCTAGTAGACAGAAAATCTGGGAGCTGAAGATCCAAATATCTGGAGAACACAAGAGTGTTCTCCAGATATTCTTTCCCATCAGGGAAAGATCTGGAATGCTTCTCTGCTGTATAACATCTGCTGCATCATTTCCCATCAATAAAGCTTATTTCATAGCAATACTGTTTTTCAGTGACTGGTACCAAAAGAACTCTTGCGGAGGCCTGGAGCTATGGCCAGTTCTGGCACAGAATTCATGTTGGTACCAACTGCAATCCTCTCTCTTCCATAGTTATGGTCAGCAAAGGAACCTTGCCCTCTGCTTGCATCTTCACCACCACTGAAACTCTCTAAATCTGGAGTATATGCTCCCATATTCCCCTGGCCCCTGCTTGCTGGTTGTCTGGGAGGTGGTGGGGCAACTTTGATGGCACATATGGAAGTGCGGCAGATTATATTTCTGCAGAGAGCAATGGAGCTGTCCAAATTTGTGAAGTGCTGACATTTTCTCTATACTCAAAATAATGAGATATTGATGGATAAGACAGCTTCTTGCTAATGGAGCTGAGAGCATTCTATTTATGCTTACGGTGTATTCATTTGTGTTTTCCTTTGCTGCAAGAATTAACATCCTTTCCCCTCTTGCTGTCTTGCCCAGTGATGGCATTCAGAATCCTTCTTGCTATTTCAAGTTATCTGGCACTTGCCATGGAAAAGAAAAGGAAGAAGCCTATGTACCTCTCTGAGCCCTCCATGCCTACATCCAGAATCCTATTGGTGTCATTTGTTGTTATTGTGTGTTGTTGTGTGCCATCATTTCCAACTTATGGTGACACTAAGACAAAATCATGGGGTTTTGTTGCAAGTTTGTTCAGAGGAGGTTTGCCATTGCTTTCCCCTGAGGCTGAGAGCATGTGACTTGCCCCCTTCTGTTTCTGCCATTCCTCAAATTTTGGGTCACAGTCCTCCAATTAAAGAGATGTACAGGAATACCTATTCTGTTGTACAAAGAAATACTTATCATTTCATTGACACCCTTTTCTGGGGAGGAAAAACCCTCTAGGTGTCAAAGAGTTTCAAACATATAAAAGTTAAAAACCGTGAGTGATCTAAAGCAATATCTCTCCCCACTGCCCCCCAAAAAGAACAAATTGTAAGGATAATAATATTCTAAACTTGGCCAACCACCAGTTAGGGGGGAAATCGGCATGTTAATGAAAATGGCATTTTGAAAAGAGGCATGTATATCAAGGAAAACTGCTTGCACAAAGTGTGTTTATTAAAGAAATATGCATGAGAAAGGGAGATGCATTTTCGTATGGAATTTAAAACAAATTGCACACTGGTGTGGAAATGAAATGGGGGGGAAAAACATGTGCTTGAAATGAAATGTAAAATGCTATCAAAAATGGAGCAGACTCATCTATTCCTTAGTGTTCATGTGGCTTCTCCCCAGTACACCCAATTAGTCTAACCAGAAGAATCTCCGCACTTTGCTCCAAATCTGTTTGCTGTTATATAAACACAGTGTGCATGAGAAGTGGGATCCCCAGTGGGAATGTATGATTCATATGCAAACCTTGGGGCCTAACTACCCTAAGGCACCAAGCTCTGTCTGATATTGGAAGCTATGCAGGGTCAGCTTTGGTTAGTACTCAAATGGGAGACTACCAATGAAGACCAAATGCTGTAAGCTATATTTCAGAGGAAGGAACTGGCAAAACCACCTCTGAGGATTCCTTGCATAAGAAAACCCTAGGAAATCCATGGGGTCAGCATGAGCCAACAGGCAATTTGAAGACACACACACACACACACACACATATATATACACACACTCAAATTTTGGTGGGTTAATTTGTTCAAGAAGGGCTGGGAAGTTTTCAAAGCCAAAAGTGACGTCTGGTCCATTCTGTGTGCACTTAGCTTTGCTTCTTTGGGTGTAGTTTGTTCAGATCCCATGGGGTCTTAACAGATGTCCAGTCCTGTTCTAACTATTGTGTTGCACTAACCCTGTAATTTATTGTACAGTGAACCCTCCTCATTCGCTGGGATTAGGTGCACAGGATCCATGTGAAAGTGGAAAAGCCACAAATTAAAGGAAACACTTTTTTAAAACGTGAGAGAATACCTCTCTTGGAATCTTGAGACCCTCCAGTGCAACTCTATGGTCAACATCTGGTGGACATTGACCACAAAATCATGCTGGAGGGCCTACAAATGTTTTGAGAAGTTTCTTTTCTAGGAATCTCTAGGTCTTCCAGCATGACTCTGTGGTCAACATCTGGCAGAAATGGAGCATAGAATCAGACTGGAGGACCTAGGAATGCCTTAGAGAAGTGGTTTTTTTCTAGGAAACTCTAGTCTTCCAGCATGATTTTATGGTCAACATCTGGCAGAGTCATGCTGGAGGACCTAGAGATTCCTAGAGATAACATGTTAACCAAATCTACGAATAATCAAATGCGCAACAATTGTGGAGGGCCAACTGTATACCCTTACCCAGTTTGTTCCTGCCCCATTTTCATCCCCATTCTTAGATCCCAGAAAGCAATGCTAGACCAGGAGCTCCTTAGGGCAATGTTTCTTCCATCTATACTTTCCAAAGTGTGAGACAGAGACTGTGATGGTGTTTCCCAGTATAAATACTAGACATGACTAAATAACAATGAATCAGACGAAGGCTAATAAAAACATATCTTTATCATATGTCAAATACCCCTGGATGCTCACACCACCGCACATGGGCCATTAAAGGCTGTCAAATGTCAAATCGCATTGCCAGCTCAATATCCTATCTGCAGCTCCATTGAAGATGTTTTGAGCGATTAATCATGCAAGCTTTTTGTTGATCTCCTAATCTGGCATTTAAATCTGTAGATATATACAAAGCACAAGCTCCAAAGGAGCTGCGTAGTCTGAAACGATGAACATTCACATCGCAGGAATGACATCTTAGAAGCAGTTCTTTCTCTCTGTATTGTGTGTGTGTGTGTGTGTTTCCAGGAACAGGAAAGGAAGGGAAAATGTTTCTTACAACATGCCAACTGTACTTTTTTGCAAGCACTTCTGGCATTTAAAAATAATCATTCTTGACATATTGACAAATCAGTGCTGCTTCTTAATTGATTAAAAAGTTTTTAAATGAATTGATGTAACTAAAGAAGAGGATGGAGGGACTTTCCTAGGAGGAAAAGGTGCATCTCTGGGAGCTTTTTAGCTGGGGAGGGGAAAATATGTAAGAAGAGAACATGATAGAGGCACATACAGTGATGCATTATGCATAGAAACTTTGCAGAGATCCCCCCCTTGTCTTTCATGTCACTAAAACCTGGAAGATCAGTGGTAAATCTGCTCCTAGTTTATTGTCTAAATTTTAGGAGCTACCCAAGGTGCCAGATTTGCTGGGGAGGTAGGGGACCATGCCTTGAATAACACCTTTAAAATTGAGACTAAGAGAGGATTCACTGCTCCGCTGTCCTGGCCTCTTTTTCTGGAAGCCAGTATGATCATCCTCTGAGCTAAATAGTGAAAAATTCAGAACAGAAAACTGTGGAATATGATGGATGGTGGTGATGATGGCCATCAACCCTGCTGGCATAATCTCCAACTCTCTTGGCAGGGATGATCCTGATTGATCCTCTGTCATCCCACTTTATCAGCTGCTTTTAAACTGTCCTGGTTTCTCTCTCCTCCTCCCACTTTCCTCCTTTGTCCTCAACTGCTGCAAACTGTGCTCAAACCGCAACAGTAATTTGGACTCAATTCAGGAAGGAAGGAAGAGGAGAAAGAGAAAGAAGAATCTTTCCCTTCCAAGTAGGCTAGGGCAAAAGCAAACTGCTGCAGCCCGTATGTTCTCCCTCATTAATAACTTTGGCCATCTTGGCCACATAATGTTGCTTGGCCACATGTGTCCTGGTGTTCATCTCTGAAATAATGAAGGGCACATGATGGTTCTGAAAGTCTAGAAA